ACACTATATATATATATATATATATATATATAGTGTGTGTGTGTGTGTGTGTGTGTGTGTGTGTGTGTGTGTGTGTGTGTGTGTGTGTGTGTGTGTGTGTGTGGAAAAGTCTTCCCAACGCCTTTAGGCGAAAATGAACAGTGATTTCGCCTATAGTGTTTCATTTTTCTTTTCTTTTTTTACAAATCGGAATGATCTGAAATATGGAACATGTGTACATCTTAGTGAGGCGCACCTAATAAAACTATAAAAATAATAATTCGTATAACAAAATTAACTGAAATACCCCCGAAACGTTTTGGGAGTATTTTAGTCAATGTTTTCATGTAAAATATTTTTTTGATATTTTTCGTAGATTCGCCTTTTTTTTTTTAACACACGCTTCAAATTTCAGGTCATTCTGATTTGTAGAAAAAAGAAATAAAAAATGAAACACTACTGGACATCGTGACCATGCACTAAATTTTGGAGGGTAGGTGAAATCACTGTTCATTTTTACCTATAGACGTTTTGTAGTATCTTCCATATATATATATATAAACCGGGGAGAGGGTTGAAATTGGGCAGGTATCCCAATTGATTTGATGTGGACTGTTTTCGCCCTATCTATTTTCCTTGGGTGGAAATGGATTTGCGGAGTTTTAGAATGGTTATGTGTCCTTGATTCATAAATAAACTGAAATTGATGGGGCCACATTGTGTTTGCATGTTGCGGCTAGGGCTATAGTCCTGAAGCCATCATCACTGTTCATTGAAACAGAGTGGCATTCGCTACTAAAGTATGTCTTGCCTTTGGTAGAACACATTGTGGCTCCATCACCGTTCATAATCTCCGTTACTAACATCCCCACTTCATAATGAGCAGGTTAAAAAAATTAAATAAATCATTTATACTTTTGCTGGCCCGATTCATAAATAAGCGCCTAGCATGCTTCCATGAGAGCACACAATACTATTGCGCCTCTTAATTAAGGAAACAAGAGAAAATGCCTTGATTTCTCAATTACCATGTATTTTCCTGTTTGAGAATAGGGAAAATGTGGTAACAAGCATCTGCATTTCTTTGTGTTTCCACGCTTTTCTCAATATTGGGGAAAGGTGCGCCGCTGATATCTTAAAAAAATAGGGAAAACGTGAGACCTCCCTTGTCCACATTTTATTTATCTAACCTCACGATTTTTCTCCTCTCTTGATCTCTTTTGTCCAAGTTCTAGCCTGATTTTTCTCCGGTTTCATATACAGGTTACCAAACAAGGGTTATCAGCTTTTAGAACTTTTTGTTAGGCTTGCAGTTTCTCACATATTCACTAGGAAAACATGTTTCTCAGTCGCCTACGATGTTCAAAACCACTACTGGGATGAGATTCGGCCCATGTCCGAGCCAAGTAACTTGGGCTGAGTCCAAGTTACTTGGCCCAAGTCGGGCAGGGTCATGTTAAGCCAAAAGTGTCAAAAAAATAAAAACAAATACCAAAAAATAGGAAAAAAATGTTTAAAGTAAAATTAAACAAAACACATCTAAATGACGCTTAAAAAGTAGTTAAAAGTGGATCTTGAAAAAAAATCAAATTTTGATGAGGGGCATTTCATAAATAATTCAAAAGAGAAGGGTGCGGTTTGTATAGAGCCGAGGCTCTAAACAATCAAATTAGAGCGCACCTTCAAATAATGTCAAAAAATGTGGTTTCAATACTAAAAAGTTTTGTGAGACCGTTAAATTATATTTTCATATTTAGTTATAAAATTTAAAGTTTCAAAAAAAAGTGTAGATCGAGCAGATCTATGAAAACTTGAAAATCTTGAAAATTGACGGTCCAAAAATGCTACGAGATGCACTATTTTCAAAACTTGAAATTCATTTTTTTCTCATGTCCATGCATCTTGATGTCGAGATGATCAATTTGATGATATTTGGGCATCAAAACAACCTCTTCTAATCAAAGTTTTGAGGTAGGCTCTAATTGGATTGTTTAGAGCCTAGGCTCTATGTAAACTTTTCCCAATTCTTAAAATTAAAACGTGATAGGTAAAACAAGGAAAATGATCTTTTAAAAGAATTCCCTGTACAGGCTTGAGGCAAGGTTAGATCCCATCCAGTTTAGAAACGAGAGGGTATAATGCCATAGAAACCCACAAATCAATTTGGATTATGATCCAATAGTTGTGTACTCTTAGGACTACCAACACGCCAGGTCTACTAAAACATTTCCCAAAACTTCAAAGTTCACTAGAAAAAAAAAAAAATTTGGTGAATTACCCAGTGGTTATCACCCTCCCATCAATGGCTTGTAGGCGCAGGAGGAAGTGGGTCTGAACAGATACTTTCATCCATTGTTTCAAAATCCAGAAACAAGTTTTGGATCACCCACTCACTATATCCCATGCTAATTGGACATGAAAAACCGGTCAAAGAGAATAATAGAAAAACAGAGCGATTTGAAATGGTGAAAATCCATGTACCCGCCCACCACATCGCGCAAGTTTGGGTTGCCAGGTTTTAAAATCCTACTTCATCTAATGAACTGTAACGTCGTACTATCTCCAACACCGTCCTGACAAAATTCGCTCGAATGTGAAAAGCCATTAATGAAACCTGGATCTAGTCAGTGTTCACAAAATCAACCGGTCAAACAGGCAGTGGATCCAATTTTAGCCGGTTTTGGTGATTTAGTTGGGTATCCTAAAAAAAATTATACAAAATCTTAAAATTTGTTTGTTTATAATATATTTTTTAATGTTTTTTATCATTTTGACAAATATTAGAAAGTGTTTGACCATGAATACTTTCTTTTTACATTTTTTCTATCCTTTTTTTTGTAAAATATCAAAAATGCGCTTAGGCACAAATCAATTTTTTAAAATCTATTTTTTTAAACTAATTTTTAACTTGATTTGGATGTACTTTGTTTAATCATATTTTAATATATTTTTCCAATTTTTTTATATTGTGCATTATATTTTATTTTATTAACACTTTTTAAACCGGTCAGGACACCAAAGTTGACACAACTGGTTTACCAGTTACTTGGAACCCACCATTGGCAGGTTTCTGAGGCCAGTTCAATTCTCCAACACTGGATATAGTAATATTTTCTGTAAATGATATGCCACCGCCATGTAGCTTCAACTGCATCACCTTTGCAGTATAAATCTATAAGGCTTTATTTTCCCATGCCGTTTGCCACTATTTCAGAGGTTATACCATAGTATTTCCATGAAATGACTCTATTCCAAGCCACCATTTACCTTGGTAAAAAAAAAGAAAGGAAAAACAAGCTTATAACCATCTTATGTGAAATTTGACGGCTTGAGTATATCACCAAGTCAGAATTTATTTTTTATTTTTAAGCCTAATCAACATAATAAATACAGCCGCCCAATTTCACATCCAATAATCATCATAATTGTGACCTCGATGTATTCAATATAAATGGTCCATATATCCAATATAAATGGTCCATCTCATTGTATACTTTTCCTTCCATAAATTAACCCCTTTACCCTTTACCAAATTCCAAAACCACAGTTTCTGCCCTAAAAATCGCCCACATACTAGGGACAAAATGAAGATCCTGTTCACAACAACAAGAGGTACATAGCACAAATAGTTTTAGAGAAGTAAAAGAAGTGCACAAATAGTTTTAGAGAACTTAAAATACCATTATAGTACAAAAAGCGGGCTTTACCAACTTCCTAAATGAGCAGAGAACATAAGAGGGACAGAACCACTATAGCATTTTAATTGCTATACAAAACTGCATGTAGAGATCCAAATTCGAAGACATGGGAAATGTAATATAACGCAAATTTCTTCACATATACCCGCCTAAGGGAAACTGGTAAAAAGTATCATAAATAATAAACAACAGTATGTCCACTGAGTATCGACCACAACCAGAAGCATACATAATCACAACTGTGACAAACAAAAGCTCTATTCACATCCACAAATACCTGCACTCTATGAAACCCTGTAAGACATGCAAAAACTGGGAGGCTACACCAAGATCAGGAAGACTTTTCTAGTCCTCTCCCTTTATGAATAATGTGAGTTAATAATCTCCCGGTGCACCATGTCTATAAAGTGATCATTCTGCATAATAAGAGAGAGAATGAGAAGTTACCAGGTTTCTCATTTCTTTTTTTGAAAAGAAAAGCACGATTCGATGCATAATAATAGGCATGTTATATGAAGTATGATGTCCCATTGTCTCATATTTTTTGGCCTCGATCCATGACATGATTATCAACAAAATATCGATCACCAGTCTAAAAAACTGTCAGTAACCTCTGCGGGCAATTTTTGATTGAATCATGTGACCACACTTTTACTTCTTTTCACAATAAGTGGCCAAAATATCAATGGGAAATATCAAAGTGGAACTCCCCCTTACACGAAGTTCAATATGTTTTGAAATCTTAAGAAACTTGTCACTTTGGAATATTCAAGGTGTTTTCTCAACAGGAAATCAGAATGTCAGTTATACAATGAAAATTGAACATGAAGTCGCTAAGACAATCAAAATAAAAGTATCAGAGAAATCACGAGGATTCATCAATGGCTTTGATCCAAAAATAACTCTAGGCCCTTCAACAAAAGCAGGATTTCAGGAATATTTAGCGATCTTCAGAACTCTGATATGTCTCTCTTTCTCATATTGAAAAACAAGTGAAGAGCATACCTGTGAAAGTCTCACCAAAGCATCCCGAACTTTGTCTCTTGAAATAACCGGCCCATATGTTGGAGTTGGCGTGAGAGATGGAGGTGGGGCTGGAGGTGGGAAAGGCTGAAGCATTGGAGCTCCATATGGACGCTGTAGATTTACAGGAGGTTGCAAAGGAGGAGCAGTAGGGGTAGACGATGGAACAGGTGGCGGTGGCATAAGTGAAGAAGAAGAAGGAGGTGGCATGAAGAATGAAGATGGCTTCACAAGATTGGCTTGTCGATTATTGCTTGAATCACTAGTATCAAGGAGAGGAATCAGGGGGGATGGTGAGGGTTGGGGGGAAGGAGAAGGAACTGGCAGAACAGGGGCAGGTGCGGAAGCAGGACTTGGTGTATGGTTCGCTGTTGAGAGAGAGAGTGGTGGTTGAAAAGGTTGGCCTGGAATTCCAGCACTTGAAGGGTTTCCCATATTCATACTGGCCTGAAAAAATGAGAAGTAGAAAGAAGTTTCTCAAGGTTAACTGGAAACAGGGTTGTTAATACAGTAAGGAACATGATTAGAATACATACATTGAAGTAGTTAACGAAAGGGTCATCAGGAACATCTGCAGCACTGGATGTTGAAGATGACGAGGGTTCTAAAGGACCATCCATTACTGCTGAAGTTGGAACAGCTTCAAGTTCTTCAAACTCACTATTGAAAAGCAAATACAGGAAGGATGGGTAAATTTACTCCAACTGATTAGTTCATCACAGTTTCTAAGAAAGGTAACATCATGAAAGCAAATTATGTAAGCACCTGGCCAACCTAGTTCTCTTGTAGAAACCGACAGAGGACAACACAAACATTAATCCTAAAGAGACAAAGATCTTAATCGCACGTCATTTTCATTTTAATTACTTAAAGAAGAAAAATATGCAAATAAACGCACCACTTCAGAGAGAATATAAAAGAATATAGTCATATAAATGACCACAAACCTTTTCCATTGAAGCTCTCTTCTAGTCTGATTTAGTGACTAATAGTATATTTCCACTTCTTGGTGCACTTTCTGACAGAAACATTGGCTGTTATTATTACGTTATGCTTATGGTTAAGAGGTATATGAGACCTCTTAGTAATCTGTGATAGTGAGTCCTCTTAGTAATCTATGATAATGAGACCTCTTAATAATCTATGATAATGTGTCTCAATCTATTTAAGCATATGGTTGCATCATAGTTGAAATTCCACTGGCTTGGAACCTTATGATTCATTATCAATAAGCAATAGGTCACCTATTGCCTGAGGATAATAATACACCTTCGGAATTTTCACATTCATTTTAAAAAAACATATTTTGATCTCCTATGTCCTTTATGATGAACTTCAACTGACTTTTCAGCTTAAGAATACAAGTGGTATCATGTCCAGCCACCATGTTATCATCTAAACAAAACAGTAGAACCAAAATCACTTTATTCAATGTTTCACAAACAAGGAAAGATCAATTCTGAGAAACCTGGCATGCTGTAGAGCATGCATGAATCACCCAAACCATGTCCTAGAAGCCTATTCGAAGCATCTATAGCCTTCTATAGTTTGTGCACTAAATCCCGTTTGAGGGAGGAGAGCCAGAGGAAGGGCCACACATATGTCCTGTTGTCAGTCTCCTTGTGGAAATGCTTTCTTCAAATTAATTTGATGAAGTGCACAATCTTTTTGTGATGGATCTACTTATGGACTGATTACACACAAAAATCTGGGATGGACAAGAGATAAAACATAACTCCTCTAGCCAGTGAACCATGTATGTTGTAATTAATTTTGAAATCATTTTCCTCTTCTTGAAATCTTAATAATTTTTTAGAAAACCTCACTCTAATGCTTCCAGGATTGGCTTCATCAATCAAAACACCTAAAGTTTGCCACAGGCTTTTAAAACATTACTACATGAGCATACATGCATATAAGTGTGTGCCTCTACGAATGTTATACAAGAAAGCTCTCTGCAAGCTGAATGGTTTCATATAAGAGCAAAGTCGAAACTTCTTTATTTCATGTACACTTATATCTAGCGAGTCTCAGCCCTCTAGTAGAAAGGGTTGGCAGGCAGTAGGTCTAGCTGGAGCGCAAGGTAGGGATCTGATGGATGGAGGGAGAGCAAAGGAAAGGTCTAAGAGGACAAGGAGAAAGGAAGAGAGATGAGGAGTCTAGACGATCAGTTCCAAATTAATTTGCATCATCATGTAAATCTAATTAACAAGTCCAAAAATCTCAGAAGGATTTTGTCTAGACTAAAAAGTTGAGGATATTTTGGGAATGTTAAAATATGTAAGGCACGAGAGGAGCCTAAATCATGCAGTTCATATTAGTAATGCATATCATATCTCTAATTAAAACATGACAAGAGAAGGAAATGGAAGAGAGAGGAGCCTAAATAGGCATGCTTCTATTTAAATGCAGTACATATCTGTCATTTATATCAAAGTAACAAGCGACTCAATATCCTATTTGGGAAAAATATGTTGCTTTATTGAAGAAATTAGGGTTTTTCTGTTGAGTTGGTAGAGGTAATTTGTTTCGATAAGTAGGGGTTCTCTTTTTTTTTCCTTTTTGAAGCTGAGTAGGGATTCTTCTGGACAATGAAATGGACAAACATGTGCACATTTACACGCATATAAGAGATGATTACCACTGGGGCCTGTGGTATATATGTGCAAGGAAATAATTGCAACTGAGGCCCTTCCTAATGATCATTAACACCCTCCCCCCCTCCAAAAAGAAAAACAAATAAAAAGAAAAAAAAAGGAGAAACAGAAAAAAAAAAAATTTCCAACCCAACCCAAAAAATTTCCAACCCAACCCATGGACTCACAAAAACGTTAAATGCCAAAGCAACCTAGGCTTTCATGCTCAAAATTATTCCATACATCTCAGCTCCTTGTGTATTACCAAAAGAGAAAATAGAGACAGAGAGAGAGAGAGAGGAGGGGGAAAGGAGTTCACAAGACTTTTTGCTTTCTTTGAGAAATGTATTTGGATAACAAAGGTAATGCATTAGTGTCATTGCGTTATTACGTTCCATACCGAAGAGAAAGGGCGTATGGTGCCCTTTTTACATAGAATGCAAAACACCTGCTTTTTATTGGTGTTTTGCATGAATGCAAATGGAAGTGTGTGTTGGGAACCAATACCATTGACCACCAACCCATCTCATGCAAACGCTGCCAGAATCCATTCTGGAGGCCCTTCTTAAAAGCAAACACCCAAACCTATCCCATATTTTCAAAGCTACAAGAACAAGGACTCCTTAACTCAATATGTCTAAATTCCAGAAAGAAAATTCTTATTTTGGAAGCCAAACAACATGAAATTCTAAGCCGAATGCATTTCTCTGTCCTTAGAATATTCGCTGGAGCACTCCTAAACCTAACAAAGGATTTTCAAAATCTAAATTTATTTTAATTTAATACTCATGGCAGAAATAGATTGGTAGATGCAATTGTCAGATAGACATACTCGAGACTGTCTATATGTTTTTCTTTTTTCTTTTTTATTTTTATATTTTTTGGCTACATACAATATGTTTGTATGTTGCTTCGTCTTAATAAACATTAAAGACTACCTTATATCACCATCAGTCCATCACTATGGTCAACAGATTCTATAAATGTTTCAAGCCAAACAAAAGGGACGTTTATTTCATGCAAACCAAGAGAGGCACTTGCAATCACAAAGTGTTTATTCAATTAAGGGTATCGCAACAATGTCATGATTGTGATGCCCAGTCCACGAGATCTAGTTTGGATTCTTGGTTTGTTTGACCATTATTATTTTCTTTACTTGTAAGGTAAGGCCACATCTGGATTCTACCTCAAACCATGGTTTATAAGCATAATGGTTATTGGTTTGTTTGTAAAATTGAGGATGGATGCTTCACTTAAAAATAAGGGGCCAAACCAGTGTAGGAAAAATCGGGCAGTTCAAATTCTAACCGCCTAGTTAGACCCGGTTAGATCGGAACCAGCCAGTTATGATTTCGGCCGGTTTTCGTGAATTGGCCAAGTATTTTTAAAAAAATTCAGCATTATATAAAATCCCCCCGAAAAAAGGGATTTTGTTTGTAATGCATTTTTCAATGTTTTTTCATCATTTTGACAAAGATTAAAAAAAAATTTGGTCATTAATACTTATTTTTACCTTTTTCCATATTTTAAAATTTTTTCAAAAATACCCCTGAGCACAAATCGATTCTTTAAAATCCATTGCTTTCATTAATTTTCAACTTCATTTGGATGTGCTTCGTTTAATCATGCTTTAAATATACCTTTCATATTTTATTAGATTTTATTTTGCATTTTTAAAAAAAAAATTTGTTTACACTTTTTGATCATCTAGGACCAAGACACCCAAGCCCTCAACTCTCTAGAAAAAAAAAAAACAAAAAAAAAATTACCTACCTTTTCTTCATCTCCAAAACTCACTCATCATCAGCAAGGACCCAAGTCACCCAAAGCCCTCAACTCTCTCTCTCTCTCACTGAAACCACGGTCAGCCATGTACCTGAGAGAGTGAAAGGGGAGGGCAGAGAGAGAGGAACAGCCTGACAAGCACTAACCCTAGATTTTCAGCAAGAATGTAATTGTACATAACTTTTCCAGCTCCATACACGACCGCACATCAGAAGTTAACCCTATATTCCATTCTCATTCCTTATTTGCTACTTCTTCACCAAAAACCCCAGCTCCATTAATGGCTTCTTCAAGCTCAGCAGAGGCTCCACAAGCCTCTCATGTCTGCCAAATACATTGAATATCAGTGTGCATCCCCATAAATCCTATGGCACTCAGCTCACTTTCACGAGCAAGGTTATCCCAACTTCATATCAAGCTCATAGTCATGAGCACTGTCACACACTCTTTATACTCCTACTGGTATTGGAGAGTCCCTCTTGTATATGTGCTTCTCTTGCGAGCCAGAATGAGTTGAAGCTGAAGAAAAGTGGGTTAGATTTTGTGGACTCTCACCCATCGTTTGATTCACCAAGTAACACTGATGCATCTGGTTCACGCAGCAACAACAATTGAGAAGAGAACTCGGGTTTAGGGGTTTCATCTCTGAAGCAGATGCTCCAGGTCCGTAAGATCAGACAGTCTCCCTATTTGTCAATTTTCCCCATCTCTATCAGTTTTGCTATTTGCAAGAGAGACTTTCAGTTCTTCATTTCTCATGTCCCCCCTCAGCATCTTATCTCTTGCTTTGTCCATGTACCTCATTCCCTCCCTTTCTCTGCATTTATAAATTGTGAATTCTCTATTTGTAAGTGAGAGAGGCTTCCAATTCTCAATTTCACTCATTCCCTTTCACCCTTTCACCCTTTCTCTCTATCTCTCTGTTTATTTCACTACCCCCGCTTCTCTACATCTTCATATCACAATTTCATTATTTGCGCAAGAGGCATACTTTTAAAGTCTCCATATGCCTCATGCCCCTCCTCTCTTCACACTCTCACTCACCTATCTCGTGGCTATTTTCAAAGGAAATGGGAGTCACTTTTGTTGGGGGTGAGAAATTAGGGTTTTGGATGAAAGGATCATGGAGTTATGCAGGAGACTAAGGATTTGGGGGATGTGGCAGCCATACTACCACAAACATTGTTAATTGTGAAAATCCAACAAATGGCCATCCATGCTAAATCCA